TTATTTTGATATATCACAGTGAAAGATTTATCGTCCTCTTTTTTTTTTTTTTTTTTTTTTTTTTTTAAAAAAAAAAAAAAAAAAAAAAAAAATTAAAGCTGCCAAGATGAACGGAAGGTTCCTTTAAGGGTGTAGCCAGAAGGAAGCAGCCATCTTCCTCCAAACTCCTGTGAACACCTGTTCACTTCAGGACTTTAAATAACTGCCATAAGTGGAGAGCAGCTGGGCGTGGTGGTGCACACCTTTAGTCCCAGCATTCAGGAGGCACAGGCAGGTGGATCTCTGTGAGTTCAATGCCAGCCTGGTCTACACAGCAAGTTCCAGGTCAGCTGGGGCTACAAGGAGAACCTGTCTCAAAACACACCAAAAAGGGGGCTGGAGAGATGGCTAAGTGGTTAAGAACACTGACTATTCTTGCAGAGGACCCAGGTTTGCATCCCAGCACCCACATGGCAGTTAACAACTGTCCATAACTCTAGTTCCAGGGGATCTGACAGCCTCTTCTATCCTCTGTGAGCACTGCACGACACAGATGCACTTACCTACATGCAGGCAATACACGCATACACTGGTTCAATCCCCAAAAAAAAAAAAAAAAAAAAAAAAAAAAAAAAAAAAAAAAGAAGTGGAGAGCAAAGGGAGGGGGCCTGATCCAGAACAGAGGCTCCATGAAGCAAAAGCATCAGTGCACCCCATGTGCACCGTGTGCCACCATGCCCTATGCCCGCTAACATTACCTTTTCTTTTCTTGTTCTTCTTTTTCTATTTTGTGGGATGCAACATATGTTGAAAAGAGATGGCAACACCTATTTAAGAGCTTCACAAACTCTACCATGGCATCCTCTTTAGACATGTTTCCCAGGGCTGCCCATTCTCTCCTGCAAAGAATAGTAAGAAAGTTACGTTCCCTTCTTAATAAAATGAAAATCTCATTTAATAATCATTTAACTTTCCTACATAATAAAAATTCTTAATTAAAATGAAGTGTGATTTTTCCGAAAAGCAAAAAGCTCAGAACTTCCACTTTCAACAAATATATATTGACTTATTAATTATGCTATAGGCAATCCAAAGTATGAATGCATTTTGATAACTCACATACGGCAAAAAAAAATCCCCATCTTATTTTCTTTATATTATATTTTAGCTTGAGCTGAATAAACAGGTATTCTTTTCTGGCACAATTCTGTGTATCTCAATAAGGGAATCAATGGGATTTATTTTAAATAGTTGCTTTAAATATTTTGCTATTATGCATTATACTTTTTTTTTTTTTTTGGTCTTTTTGAGACAGGGTCTCCCTGTAGCCCCAGCTGTCCTGGAACTCACTATGTAGACCAGGCTGGCCTTGAACTCACAGGGATCCGCCTGCCTCTGCCTCCCGAGTGCTGGGATTAAAGGCATGCGCCACCACGCCCAGCCACATTATACTTTTATATTTACTTCTACATTATACTTATAATATTAGGGATAGTTGAAATTGTTCTTAACTTATGTTCATAATCAGATAAGTATAGTTCTTCCACAATACTTAGCTAAACATCCCAAACCAAAACCATAAGCACCTGAAGACTCCAGAGGCTATGAACAGAAAGTTTGTTTTAGTTCCCATAATTAAGGAGTTAGCTATTTACAGCACAAGCAATTCACATTGTATCCATTCCAACATCATTCTTATTAGAACTCACTACATAAGAAAACACTGTTACCTCCTGTCATTCCCCAACACATCAAAGAATCCAACCTCAGGACAAGTGTCTGGACTATATGGGCCCATGAGAACCTGCTTATGCAGTGCCACAAGCTTCAGTTTTTCTTCATAAGTTGGATGAAAGGCTTTGCCATCTTTCTCTGTAAGAAAAAGAAATTCAAAGAAAGTAATTAGTATTGGCAAAATACAATTTCCAGCATTATATACTGAAACTTTAATGTAAATATGCTTTAACTGCCTTATAATTATATATA